AATGCCCAACTTCTCATGATTAATGTAAGTAAGAAAAAAAGCACAGGTAAGGTATAGAAATGTGTTGCAATTCCTACAACAAAAAAAAGAAAGGGAACTAGTGTGTGATACATGCAAAGAAATAGCTAGTACAAAAATGAAAATGGTTTTTGTTATTTACATGTGCACAACACAATTTCTAAACCAGTTGTCATACTGAATACATGAGGCTACTGGATTGCAAGATGTCGCATTATCTGCTGAATTCTTAGAATATATAAAATTTTAAAATTATGTTGATGAAAATTCCATTGGTCAAACTAGGGTAATTATTTTTACTTGGACAAACAACAGAATATTTTTCAAAAAGTATCATTAAAATAAATTATATACATACCTACTTCATATTTTAATTTGCTCTAAATATTTTTATTAGAAAGAAAATAGAATTATTAGAATTGGCCACCAAATATTAATATTAAAAGTACACAACTATTATTTCAGTATATACTTTTCAGAAGTTTTATCAATAATATTGGACATAATAGTAGTACATTTAAACATAAAAAAAAAATGTGTATAGGGACTTGAACTGTTGCACTCATGCTGTAGTGTAATTTTTAAATTACAAAGTTAGTTTGTATATGTGTTGATATGAGAGATGAAGATAGATTGATTAAATAAAAATGATTAGAATATTTATTTTGTAGTTGAATCTATCATAGAATCAGATCTTAACCCTCATCAGCACACCTGGGGTCCACATGGACCCCAATGACTTTCTTGGTTGTACATCTTTTTTACATAATCATTACAAATTTATATCAATTCGTGTAATTGTCAAGCAGAAACCATGGATCAATGTGACACTATTGTTTTCAAAACTGGCAGATGGAGTATGTAGCTATATAATCTGATATATTTGTCTGGGGTCCATGTGGACCCCATATTATCATTGACCATCACTATACATGCAGTTCACCCTGTTGTGTATGAAACATTTCTAAATGTGTATTTCGCTAAATAGGTTGTGACAGAGGATAATCCATCAAAGTAATGTAGTATAATCTTGTCTGTTTACTTATAACATCACTGTGGTAAGTATGTATGTGCATCTCATTCCTCAACAATGCCCTATTTTATAGAAACCTTGTTTGATAATTGATGTAAATATCCTGCTTAGTGGATTTTCAATTGATAACCTGTTATAAGGATACATTTTTGTTTGGGTCTGGTCGTACTCAAGATGACCAACAACGTACACTTTCAGTTCTTTTTAGTTGAATTTGCAGTATTATGGTAATCTCAGCATATTTTGGTGGACAAAGATTTGAATATAGAAGTATAATAAAACTTTGGTATTTTTTTTCATATGCTGTACAAGGAATGGTTTAATACTACTTATTTGTACACTTAGGAACAATATATTTTTGTAATTTCTTGATTTGTCAACATACTTCCTCTACAAAACATATTTTTATATTGTTCACATTGCATGCTAACCGTAATAAAACATGTAATGCAATTGGTTTTTGGAATTTCAATCCAGAGCTTACTATAATGATAATTTTGTGCTGGGGTCCAGTTGGACCCCAGATATTCCATAACATAATTTTTCAATTGCTGCCAAAATTTGGTGGTACTATTTATTTTCACAAAAAAGGCTCAGGTTGAAGTGTATAACTGGTTGAAAACAATTTAAGGTATAACTATGTAAGTGATACCATGTGCTCAACCGTGCAATGCCTCATCTGTCGTCTACTGCGATAAGGTGTTTAAGGCGTTTTCCAGTGTAGTTCTACTCTAATTTTTAAACTTAAACTGAAACAGTTTGGATGTTTTGTTTTTACATTCCTTGTTAAGTTATTATAATAAGGATAATAGTTAATGAACAGAATTAATAATCAGGGTTCATATCTCAGTTAAAGTTATAGAGGAAAGTTTTACTATGACTAATACTGTCAATGTAGTGTCGCTCTAATTTTTAGGCCTAAGTTCAAAGAGCTGTGATATAGAATAGTTAACAGCTTAAAGAAATTTAATGGAACATTATTGAAAAATGTGCAGAAATAAAACACATATTTGACCAATTATTATAGGTAGTAAACTAAGGTTTATCAAAAGATGAGCCATTGAGAAAGATATATTAGGTTGAATAGAAGCTGTAGAGCTGATATACGAGTAGAGTAGGTTATAAAGAAAAAATATAGAACATTTATTAATTGTTCAACCCCCTCTATAATAGAAAAACAAAAAAAATGTAAGATAAAAAACATTAACAAAATACAATACTTTTAACCATAGCTTAATGTGTAGGGAACATGTACAGCGTGAGGTAAAAGTCTGGGTGTGTTAAATTCTACCTTTCCTGAAAGTTTTTGTAGTACCATGGTTTTTGGAACGGAACCTTTTAGTAATAATGTAACTTCCACGGAGGATTAGAAACAACATTTTTCAGTGCTTTCTATTCTTTGATTTTAGGTTTTTCCCTGCTGCTATTATTACTGAAACTATTATTATTTTTTCTGTGGTTAGAAGGTAAATTTTTCTTTTCTTGGATTGAACTTCATATTTTAGTTTGTTTCATCTAGTCTGCTCATTCAGGTAGCTGTACAAACATGTACAATTCTCTGCTATTTTATGATAATTAGATCAGTTGATGAGCACCTAAATCATGATTTATTTTTCTCAGTTATGTCAACAGTTTTCACTTAAGAGCAATGTTCACTTGAATCCTCCTGCTATTTTCTACTGTAATTATCTATGGCAGAATGTTTTTATACACTGTAATTTTAATTGCTGAAAATTCAAAAAGATCACTAGTTGGCTGTATAGAGAATTATACCACTGTTCAGTTTCACTAGTTTTCTAGAAAATCATGACAACATTATAAACAAGTTTCTGTGCAATCATCCCAAACAAAGGCAAGTAATCTAAAAAACTGATTTCTCAACACAAACTGTCGTGTAACCTTAAATGGTGTGACTTGTTACATGGCCAAGGAAGGATTAAATGCATTCTTTCAATACTATGGCCCTTCTGAAAACTATATTGTTAACGATCCATTAAAACATCATGGACTTCAAAAACCCCTGTGCAAAAATGGTTGCAGTTAAACCAGTGGGGGAAATATCACAGCTGCACTATCCATGAAGTGACTAGCCAACTTTGTGCATACATTGTTTGTAATGTCTTTTCAGTCCTACGAAAAATTAGTATGGTTTATTTTTTGTTTTAAAATTGATGATTTAATACTAATTTTAAGGAAGTTTCTTGACTCTTAAGATGAATTTTATTGTTTTGAAATGTTTCATTAAGTTCACTTTTTAGAAAGTAAAATGATCAGTTTTTCTCACTGTATAGCTTATTCTTTGACTAGTGCCTCTTCAAGTTTATTTTGGGCTACTCAACTTGTTTGTGTAGAGGATCACATAATAGAAAACTCATTTTTTCAAGTTTAAAATAAAGGATGCAGTGTCTCATGGATAACCAATGGAGCAGAGAAGTTTGGCCTGCTAACAACAGGTGGTGCTTGCATCTCAGGTTCTAATGTGTGTTTCCCTTCGTTGCAACATTTAAATCACAGAAAATGAGATAAAAACACAAGTTCACACAATTGTTTAATGGAACTTTCACCAATTATAATACAACTGAAAAATAATTTACAGTGCATAATAACAAAACAGTAGTACAAGTGATGTTGTGTGTGTGAGACTGACAAGAACTGAGGAGAACTGTAATAAACAAAAGAGCTCATGTCAGTGTGTATTGTTCCCCTTCGTCTAAGTACAACAGAAGAAAACTAAATGAAAAGTATCTTAAATTACATTAAACATCATTAATCAATACCTATAAAAAAATCCTTGGAAAGTAAGGGTGCACAAATACCCTTTCAACCACTATTTCCAATAAAATGACTGTCCTAGCTGGTGATTAATTAATAATCACAAAATTTAATTGATACATTCTGCTGGACATAACTACCTGATAGCTTGGAAAAAAAGGAGCAACACTTCATTTCAATCATGATCAAGTAAACCAATGACTTTTAGGTGACATTGCAGTACATATGTCTGTCTCACAATACCATTTAGTGGCTTGGAAAGCAAGGGTCATGACATCCTTTCTTGTATGTGATATTCTTTCTTTTTACATGTATATCATAATGTCTCTTTGGTTATTTTACTTTGTGTACATCCTTCTGTCACAACTTTGCATTGTTCCACATTTCTTGTCCTACTCATCTTTGTAATTTCTGTGCTGTAGCCTCAGGTCATGGCCCTTTTACATTTTGTGATCTCCAATGCTTTTTCTTTCTGCTTGGGGTGCTCCTCTTTGCCTTTATTTCCAGATATTTGTTCTTTTTTTGTCTATTTTTACTCTCTCTGCCCTTTCTCTCCCCCCTGAGACTCTTTCTTACAACCATAGTAGTTTCAGTGGAGACACCTATTTTTCATTTGTCACTTTAGTTTCTATTTCTTCATCATATGTTTTTATTTGGCCCTGCTTCTTTGTTTTTGGGGTCTGTTTTGAGTGTACACATCCCTTTCTCTTATATCTGAGACCTTCATTATTCCCATTTGCTTACAGAGCTAGCCTTTGAGGGTGTTCCTGACTCCTTGGAATTCTGGGCTTAGATTACTTGCCTGCAATCTTTTGTTGTTTCCTTGATTTTCCATCTTAGTGGTCCACAGGTACCTCGAGGGACTGTTTAATCAATCAATGGTTTTTATCGTTCATCGGTATTGCAAAAATGTTAAACTGATCAGATTATTTAAAATTTTTCCAAAATGTGTAGATAAATCAAGAAATATACATAATCAAGGAAATTGTGCAACTCTTAACGAACATGAAACTGAATTTTATTGTATTACTTAATAGACTGTTATTCTTAACTAAATTTCATTTGCTGAAGCACATTATTGACAATTCGGTCGCCATATAGGTATATCCTTTATGAATATTCATTATGTACATTTATGTCTCCATATTACAAGTGTGCTCAGGATCTCTTTTAGATGGTGAATGGTGTTGACCAGCTTTTGGATGATTACCTTTTACATTCAGGTAGCTTGTGATAGTGTCCCTTGTTCAGAAATATACAATTTAATTTAGTTTCACAACGGTTACACAACTTCTCTTGCGTTAAGAGTACATTAATCTTAATGAATTACCTTATAAGTATGAATGACTATGCATTTTTTTTCAATCACGCAAGCAATAATTCTCTAACATGAGTCTTGTAGAGGAAGTTTTGAGATAAGACAAATACACCAGGAGATATCAGAATATGGATCGTGGGGTGCATTCTCGTGTTCACGGGGCCGGTTAATTAATAATGGCCTTGAGGGTTCAAGGGAATCACAAAAATATCAAATCCAATAAAATTA